TATATATATATATATATATATATATATATATATATATAATCTGATTATGAGTTTCTAGAACACCAAATCTTCATTTTGACTAAAAATACTATTATTTAAACACTTTTTTATTTTCTTCCAAAATGTCCTTATACATATATACATTATGTAATGATGTACATTTACATTTTTGTTAATGTAATTTTTGACATTGATTTGCAGTCTACGAACAGAATTTGAACAGTGTTATGTTAAAAATTACGCTTGAACCAAAAATAAGCACCCAATGCTGCTCAGAACGTTGCTTTAGAGACAAGGCTATTTTACTTCAGAGAAAAGGATTGCTTTGTGATGTCTTTCAGTAAACTTCATTTTAATGACGTGTTTAACTTTTATGAGTCTCAAAAAGGCTTGGCTTTGCTTAGCTTTTGTTGAATGAGGAAAAAAGAAACAAAGGATTGTCGAATCTGCTTGACAAAAGCTTTTCTCTTTGGTGTGGAATCAGGAGGTCACAAGCCCTTTCATGAAAAGAAAATATATTCTATGCTGTTTTCTGATGCCTCTCTCAAAATAAACCCAAGTAGCCACATATTTTGTCAAAAAAGCATCAGCATATTGTTGTTTTTTTTCTCACAGACAAAGCGAGAGCTCCGTAATGTTAGTCATACTCCACTAGAGATTCGGAGAACAACTAGAAATTGGCCATTATTACTTTTAGCTTTACAGAGCACAAACTTCACAACTTCCATGAAGAAGAAACATCCGTGTGTGTGCAAATTTATAGATGTAAATTTCAGACAATGGGTAGCACTTTGGCCTTTCAGTTACAAGGTTTCTGATCCACTTATTAATATGGACGTCTTCTTGGAACATATTGTCTCATTAAATGTCACGTGTGTAAATTGCTGATAATATTATTTATCTGTTTAATATTATTTATAATTGAGGAAATGATGAATTCAGAAAATGTAGGCCTGGGGTACAAATAAAAAAAAGTATTGTTGCTTAATAGACAAAATAACAGAAAAGACTTTTTATTAAATTTATTATCAGTAAAGAAAAGAAATTGTGTAAAATTGTCTTGCTGTTGTGTTTTTGGTTTGGTCCGCACTTGTTCTTGGCTTAGCTTGCCTTGGTATTGGTCTTGTCTTGGTCACAAGACTCCCCGGTCTGGCTGGTTCTTGGTCTCTGGTATAAACCTAGAGAATTTATTGACTTCATATCAATAAAAAAGATGGAACACTACATTTAAAAAGTAACACATTTAAAATAGTGGAGCAGAGGAAAAAGTGCTCAAGTCTTTCTAAAGATTAACGTCTTCTAGTTAATTCTGGAAGGATGGTCCAGATGATGGGTGCTGCACAGCTGTAGCCCTTGGCCACCATTGCCATTTTGGGTGGATGAGGGGGCTCTACCTGCACAGCAAATGATACAGTGAATAATTAAGCTCTATTCAGATGGGACTAGTTTTAAAAATGACATTGTAGGTAATTTGCTCTACAATTTTAATGAAAGTTGTCATGGTAACGTCAGACATGGCAGATGCAAATGTGATTGAAATCATAAAGTATGTCTGTGAAACAGAAAGACTCCCTGTAAAACTGACCTGGTTTGAACAGGGCTTAAGTCTCTTAAAGTGACCGTACATAAAATATGGTTACAAAAGGTAAATAATAAGGTGTCCATTAATTTTTCCCAGTTACTCTCTACTGAAGTGCATCTCTAGCTCAATACAGGGTGCATCATGGGTAGTTCACCAATCCCAGGGCCACATTCACTGAAATGTGGAATTTGGATTCTTGCACTTACCTGAAGCATGATGTTTAGACTGTGGGAAACTAAAATAACGCAGGAGGTGCACATGAAAATGTTTAAATTATTGATATGTTACAACACAAAGTACAAAAGTTTTTGGCAGATGTAAAAAAACAGTAAACAAATAATAGTTTCACAAATATAAATAATGAGAGTCTATTTTTTGTAAATGTACAAAAGAAAAAACAAACTCAATCCAATATTTTGTGTAATTACCGTTTCCCTTTCTTATAGCTCCCTGCACAAAGTCAGAGATTTTCTATTATTTAAGTTGTGTGTATGAACAACCAAAGATAGCGAACAGATGCTAATGATCATCAATGTCAGATGTAGATTGTCAGAAACAGCTGTTTAGGAGGCGGAAAACTGGGTGCAGAAGAGCAACAAGACACAAGGTAGTTATACTTCGTCAACAAGGTCTCTCTGAGACAAAGATTTCAAAGCAGACTCTGGTTTTATTGCCTATTATACCTACTGGCAAGCCTTAGCAAGTTCTGTCATCCAATTTTAATACAAAAAGGAAGGATCAATATTACAGTATTTAATTTACCCCTACACTAACCCTAACCCTTTTTTGTTTAGTTGAATCTTATGATAACAAATGATACCAGTGGAACAGTCTTTACCTGCCAGTAGGTGGAAAATAGGTGTTATTGTATTAATTACATTTATGAATTTTGCAGATGCTTTTATCCAAAGCAACTTACATTTTAAGCAATGAAAAAATTTTCTCAGTTCTTCCTGGGGATTGAACCCACAACCTTTGCGTTGCTAGCACAACACTCTACTGGCTGAGCCACAGGAAAGCCAGGAAAGAGAAGGATACTAAACTAAATTGCAAAAAGGCTCTAAATTTAAAAAAAAAAGTACAAAAATGAGAAAAAACTAACCAATGAATTAAAAGCATAAAAACTGAACAGATCTGATTGTCAAGTTGACTGCATCTATACCTCATATGACGAATACTGAATTTGAGTTGAATTTTCCCATTAATTTAATGCTGGTTTGTAATTAATGAAGTATATCCGGACTTCATCGATTGAAACACAGCTTCAGTCTCTTACAATTGGACCAACATAAAACCCTAACACTAATGAAAATCAATCCCTGATCAATATCGTTCCTCTGCAGTTTAGCCTCTATTTAAATCCTTTATGGTTCTCTCTCAGCATAAATCAGGAGCAAAGCACCGGTCTCCTCTTTCTTTCATTCTCAGCTTTATTGAATTATTCAGATACAGTAAACTCAGAAAGTGTAAATGCCCTCAGGAGAGACAGGAGAGATATTCTTCAGGACCAATGCATTTATAGTCACCTTTTTTTCTATAAAAGTCATGAATAAAGCATTAAAACGGGGTCAAACGCAGCCAGGAGTGATCTGCCATCTCTCTGGTCTGAAAGCTCTGCTCAGCGGTTTGCAGAAAAATGAATCTGATAGATAAAACCCTGCGATCTGTTGCTCACTGGTGGAAGGAGACGACAGGGCAAACAAAGGCCACGCTTCCATTTACCGTTTATGCTGATGTCATCAGTGACATCACAAATGGCTGCAATGACTAAAATTCTATCGTTACATTCTGTCTCTGCTGTCTCTATTGCAATACCTTTTCGAATGTCACAGTTCCAATGTAAAGTTTACACACCCTCACCTCACTGTCATTGAACCACTCTGGGGAGAACTCAGAAATGCAGATCATGTAAAACAGCCCAAGAATTTACAAGAGATGGAGGCTTTTTGCCAAGAAGAATGGGCTGCTTTACCAACAGAGAAGATAAAGAATCTCATCGAGAACTACCCCAGGAGATTTTCATTGAAGGAAATACAAAATTGTCATTGTAAACTTTTGTCATTGTGATTAAAAAAGAGTGAACACTGTTGTTTGACAATAAATGGTTTCACCCAACCACTAACTATGAGTGGAAAACTGATTTTGTGTTTACATTTTCTGAAAAATGGGCAAGAAATCTCACAAGATTCACACTTGATATTTCATCACATTACATAACACGGCTCGTGTTAAAATCAAAATTAAACAAGCATCATACCAAGCCCTTATTGAAAACGCAAAATAACATTCTCTGAGCCAAATGTAAGGTATTAAATAAAAGATTAAGTGCTGGCCATTATCTGCATGGCGCTTTGGATAAAAATTCCCTCTCCGGCCACAAACACCATCCATTTTTAATTGGCTTTTAATTAGAGCTGTATTTCAACACAAGCTTTTCTGCTGAAGAACACAATAGAACGGAAAGTTAGAAGAAAGTCTAGCTCATCCTGATCACAGTTTAATAAAGTAGATATGCTCTGAACATGAACAGAGAGAAGTGGTCACTTTTACCCCTGACTTGTTTAGTGCAGACGTGCATTTTTGGTATGGTGCAGGAAAGAATGCATCAATGGTTTCAGCTTATTTCCTGTTTCTCTAAAAACAAACCGCTCTTATCACACTTCGATTCAAAAAGCACATTTTTTTCTAAAACTATTGAGCAACATTTGATGACAATGTGCTTTCTTGAAAAGTGTTGTCTTCAGTGATTCCTACACTTTAATCCTGGCCGAATGAAATGCTGTTTGGGAAATTTGTTAAATGATGTATCTGGTCATAATTTGACATGCAGAATCAATTTAGACTATAACAAATATGGACAATCAATCAACCCCTCTTGCTAATGAGGCACATGAGGCCAATAAGAGCAAGAATTGGGTTATGACATGACAGTGAGCAGGAGTCTGCACATGCTAAGAAGTGATAGAATACAAGGAGAGAGTTCCATAATAAGGGTCCACTCAAAAATTATTGATTTTTATATAATATAGTCATCTTAAATCAAACATAAAACAAAGAAAGACTTTAAAACATTTTTAAATGTTGGCAAAATTGTCATTTACTTAAGGTGAGGGGCAATAGAGGTGCCTTTAGCCTTGTTCTGACCAAAGAGCTCACTGTGGTGTGCAAGGGACCATGAAAGGCAGAGAAATTGTACAATGTACCCCATTTTTGGTTTTAGCTGGTTATTAATCCTTAGCCTCTGGGGCATTTTTTTACTACTTTAGTATAATATACTTAAGTATAAATCTCTAATAAATTACCTAATGATTATACATATATAAATATAAGTTTTTTTCTGGCAATGCTTGATTTAATTTTTCAAGCAAAACCATAGCTTCTTGTTTTTTCATTTTGTTACACAATAATTCCACAACAAGCCTGAAATTGTACACAAATACAATTTAAAGTTTTTTTACTGCAAATGTAAAATATTGAGAATGAACTGTTTTTATGTATTATGCCAAAAAGCAAAAGTAATGAGAGAAAATACAATTAATAGATGCTTGTGCAAAGACAAGGTCAAAACAATGTAAAAATGTTATCAAAAAGCCCAAACTTTGAAAAACACAAGCCCATATGACAGGTCTTGTATTTCCAATGGTAATTTTTTTTCTTTTCCTCCTTAGATGGCACTGTTGCCACTGATTTCGGGTCTGTGAAATGAAAATGAAAGAAGATTTTCTCACATTTTAATTTGAACAATCTCGCAAATTATGTGTCATAACTCTTGTAATGGTCGTTAAAACCAAAACTATCAAAACGAATAACCTACGGGTTATATTTAAAATCAAAATGAAATAATAGCTGGGTCACGTCACTCCTACTTATTGGCACTGGTGCGTGTAGAGACTTGACAAAATAAAACGAGAATGACAAAATAAAACCCTGATTAAAAATACCACAGTAAACCGCAAAAAAATAATTGAATATTAACATATAAGCTTATGGGTAACTTTTGAAGATTTAGGTACATGATTGGTTGAACACTTCTTTAGTTTTCCTTTAGAGGTGTTTCTTTTTGTTTGGAATAAAGGTATTTTGACCAGTTTGAAAAGACATTAGCATGAGCAGGGCATGTTCTTTAAAGCTCCGAAGAACTGTGATGAAAGATTGGAAAGCGAGCGTCTCTCTATCGCTCAACACAGGCCGAATCATCCAGCTGAGACCCTGCACTGTGCCGGATCTCTCTCAGATTCTGGCCAGAGCTTTTCATCAGCACTATCTCTGACATCCGCCTCAGGGAGGGTAGGAGCCGGTTATCTAGTGTGTGTCTGATGTGTTCAGTGCTATTACGCTGAGCTGGGGATTTTCCTCGTGCACACATGCTTCTTTCTCTGAACATACAAACCACTTAGACTAGGAATTATTTGCTGATGCTTTGTTTCTTTCACCATTGTGTGTGCGTGCGCATTTGCTTGTGTATTTACATGGTCTCAAAAAAAAAAACTGTTTAATATCACTAAATATAACAGAATTGTGTATAATCTGCACGAATGCTGGTGGTTTAGGTAGAGTTTACTAGCTCAGAATGCCACAAACCTTTCTGAATGAATTTGACAGCAATTCACCGTTTATGTTGATTTGAGGCATCTGAACACATTTATAATCCATGATTTCAAAGCATGTTAGTTTGATTTCAAATGACTATTTGCTTTTCTTGAGGGGACATTCCTTACTGTTTAATATTGAAACTCAAAAATGCAAGTATTGCTCTCTACTGTGACTTACAAATGGGCCTCTGCTGGTCAAATATGTGCCCTAAGCTGAATTGTACTGTGCCCAACACACAATTTCAATAAATTAGTTTTTTTTTCCTCATCCAAAAAGCCAAGTTAAGGATGGTTTAACTTAAAAATGCAACAGCAAAATGTTTTTACATTTTGAATGCTGATAGCCAATAATACTTACTATAATGATAAATACATACTATTAGAATACTTACTATGATAGTTTCTTTGCTTATTGAGCTCTTGGACTAAAAAGCAGCACAAGACAGTTTATTATATTAACTCTCTATATGTCTCTACATGTACCGGTGCGAGTGCCAATCACAGCGGCTGTTTTGAATCAAGTAGGAATGACGTGACCCATGGATTCCTAATGAATTACCCATGGAAGCATAAGAGCTGTGAGCTGTTTTTCAAAGTTCTGGCACTAAAGAATTTTCATATTCTTTTCACCTTGTCTTTGCATTGTGAGGATTTGTGATTTTTTTTGTGTCAACAATTGTGATGTTTGTTATTAAACATAAAACTGTTTGTTTTTATTTTTGAGATTTCTGCAGTAAAAAAAAAAAAAAGCAAAATGTAATAATCAGAAATGTATTTTTTGTAAAAATTTCAGGTTTGTTGTGAAATTATTGTGTAATGTAATTAAAAAAATATTTGTAAAAAAAGGTAAAAAAACTGAGGTTTTAAAGGTAATTTATTAGATCAAAAATGCTCAAAAACTTGAATCCAACCGACATGTCACCTTCTTTTTACAGTGATGCATACATTATTTTACTGATAATGAACTGTAATGCAGATATTGTAATCTAAAATTTCAATAATACCATTGTAGCTGGTGGCAAGCTCATAAGTAAAACTAAACTACTAAACTAGTGAGTTAACATTCCATCTTACCTGCTCCCATTGGTTAAGTGTAATCATGTGATGGAATGTGCACTCACTCCGTGGAAAGTCAGAATTCAGCGCAACTCAGCCTTGTTTTTAAATTTACTCTATGATTTTTGAAATATTTGCAGATATAACAATGAACAGCTCTTTATTATTAACATTTCATTTTTCGTGAGCAAATGGGATAATGGTGCCCCTCTCTGGCAGTTGGTGCCCTATGCAGACTTCGTATAGGAAGCAGTGGCACTGCCCACAAATGAGGAGAAAAGTATGCAGTTTCCCACAAATGATCTAAAAAAAAAGTTGGTGAAAGACACAAGGATTTGCACTGTGCTCACTAACTCTAATGCTCCTCATC